CGAGAAACACGTTGATACTCTGATAAAAATTGTCCCACTAACACATAACGGAACCGATCTATCTTCTCAAGATCGTCCTTGGTCAGTTTTTCCTCACCTAGCCGGTATGTTTCTCACATGACATTATGAAACTCACTCCATGATAATCTCACTTTTCTAATTAACCCATTGACTTCCTCCTTCAAGTCTATGTGGATATACTTTCTAACCTCTTCTAGCATCCGTTCCTCATTCCACTTGCTGTAGGACGCTATTTGCCCTAACTTATCAATAAAGTCGGAAACACGATAGCCCTGAAGAACTTGATATCATGGGTAGGTTGTCTCGCCCCCAATCTCGCAGATCCAACAGATACGGGAGTTTCTCGAACCCAATCATCTCTTGCGAACCTTCCATCTCGAGCTCCCTCGACCCCATCACCTATTGAACAAACAACGAGTGGTCTTAGGACCGAGACTCGAAAGAAGTTACGCAACTAAGTCAAATATAGAATATATCCCACTAAAAATTATCCCAACACTCATCATATGAGCACGTATGAGAACCTATTCAGAATAATGGTTATGCCGAAGAGAGTTTTTTAAACAAATATCCACCTAAAATAAAATACAATATTCACTTGATAAAACATTCACATCAGAACTCATACATTAGTCAATTATCACTTCTATTATCAAGGAGGGATATGACATTTATATGTTACATAGGTGGATACTCCAAACATGAATCCAAAATGCAGTACAACCCAAGATAGATAACATATACCCACAATAATAATTCACAACTGATAATCAAAACTTGTTTGTTAGAGTTGTAGCTGAAAAATACAGTATACCTTAGAAACAATAGTATGAATTTGACTCAACCACCTGCCATGCAACAAGATAACTCTCAGAACATAGTGCAAAAATTCTATAGGGCCAGAATAAGACTAACAATGAGTAAATAACATGATACAACTGCTACTCCTTCAACATTAAGTGAAGCATATAAAGCAGAGAGACGCTGTAATCCTCATGAGATAACATCTTGACTCCTGAGCCCCACTATAAAGATCAAGCCTCACCACAACCCTCTCTGATTTCAACTTTTGCACCTTAGTAAACCTATCAAGGTTAGCAAGACAACCCCACTCATACCTATTAAGACAACAGGTGATGATCCTGCACATCTCTAATATGGTGGCCCTTCCTAGCGAGAGTCTGACCTAAGTCGTCACTCTAGACTCACCCTTGCTAAGCAGTAGTTGCCCAACTTTGCCATCACGGTTTAAGCAAGGGAACAAACTTTTTCGTCCTCTTTTACATAATAATGTAGTTACTTTCTTATTTAAAGAAAAAATAACAACACCCCACAATGGACCAGGAGTACACACAGTCCGGCGTGAGTCCAACTATCATTCTCAAGACTTATAACTGTTTTCTTAAGCATCAACGAGGGAATAACAATTCAAAAGTGCACTTCCACTGAGGACAAATTATACACTTTGACTGACTTCCTTCATGAAGAATCACCTTCCACAGAAACAAGTCACCCCATTCACCTCTGGCCCCATGCAAGACATGGGTTTCATGCAAAGTCTATGTCCCCTTGGAAGACAATCCATACATATGCCATCGATCAGGCATCCAACATAATATGATAAAAGACACAGACATAGAGACAACCAAAACAAAATTGCCGTAAAAAACGATATATATATATACTACATATATTTAACATAAACCTCTCTTCGGATTAGCCAGACCTCTAGCCAAGTAACCACATACTTCGCAAGTTTATCGATAGTTACAGCCACGCAATCCATAAGTGACTCAACCTAGCATCGATTAACACCTCCGAGGAGTCTAGGCACAATACTCATCACAATACCTATCGTTCCGTAACTCAGTCTTAGCTCAAGGAAATATCTTTACTATTAAGCCTCTCACTTTGCGTTCACCAGTCACTCCATCATCTATATCACTCGCGCACAAGAAACCTCCTCTAGGGCAAGGCTCTACTGACTAGGGGAGGACACCTCAGTTTAACTTAATTACCTCTCAAAGCAGGCTTAGCACAACACTCACATAATGAGTCAACTAGCCATTCGCGCATTAGCAATTATTATTGAAGTTTATTTCTGCAATGGACACACCCAACAAAGTTGATGCTGCCACACTCAACCTAAGCCGTATCATATATGCAAAACATCGATCAATCATCTTAAAATACTCAAAATAAGAATATGCTCGTTGAAGTCGTTATCGTAAGTACTAAGGTACGCAATGCATCACCGAACACTTAATTTCTCAATCCACACATGTTTATAATCATCATCATCAATAAAAACACTCATATATTGTCGTCTTGCCTAGATCATCCGCCTGCCATTAACCTGGGTCCATTTACTAAGGACCCCGATAGGCAGCCGAGATCCCCGGCAACTGCGCCACCTGTCGAGCGCACGGTCCCCGCAAGAGAGAGGGGACCTTCCCGACCTCGTTAAGCAGAATTCGGCAGGACCTTAGTCGTAGAGCGTTGCCGCTCCGGTCAAGTGCGCCAACCATACGTCTCGCGAACCCCTACGACAGGATAGGGCCACGCAAGGTACAACTTACCTCCATCTAATCTAGGGAAATTTCGGCAACGCTTCCCGTAGGAAAAGTCCCTTTTCAGAATTTGTACGAGGCTAAATATAAAATTCAAAAATAACTCTGACTTAACAAAGTCAAATTTTGTCCAATTAGGAGGGCTATGATACTCTCGGCTGCGGCATTCTTCGTTCTGTGGTTCCCGCTGTCAATCTGCCTGTTGGGCAAAGAGGCGTATTCAGATATCTAGAGAGTAGCAACTAGATTCTTGTGGAAGTCAGAGATGGAGGAGGACCAAAGGTTTCTTTCCAAGGTTGCTTGAGAAACAATTTGCTTTCCTCAGAATGAGGGAGGACTGGGAATCCTGGACCCCCAAATTCAAAATGTTGTCCTCTTAACCAAGTAAGTCTTCAAAGCATTGTTTGAAGACCCCTCGAAGTTGTGGGTTCAGATTGCAGAATATATACTAGCCAAAGAATGAGACTTGAGTAATGAAACCGATGTGTGGCAATGTGTACTAATCCCCTCTTACTTGAACAGAAGGCTCATCCTGCGAGTTTGGAAGACACTGCAGCCGGAGGTGGCACGCCCGCCAGAAACGAAGAAAGAGATTGAAGTCCAATGTGTCTTTGAGAACCCCCTAATCTGCTCCTCGAATAGCTCAGTCTTTTCAGCAACCGAGGGGGCGGGCAACTTTGGCAAGACATGGATAGAGAAGGGTGTATTTCTCATCAGACACTTGTGGGACGAAGTAAGGGAGAACTGGCTCACGGATGACCAGCTACGCGAGAAACTCCCTCGCTGCCGCTCGGTGTCACAGAACAGGGCTAGATTAATTGCTGCAATCCCCCACCAGTGCTCGAATTTATTACGCAGGGAGGCGGAGCACGCAGCGGGCATGTGGTTGAGGGCCCAAGATGAGGTATCGAGAATTTGGAGAATACAAGGACCAGATTTGAGAGGGGGTTGGAGGGTGGAAGAATGGAGAGAGGGACCAAGAACAGGAAAAGGGATTAAGTTGATTAGACTGAAAGACAAAACTGTGCCTTCATCCATTGCCCTTCAAGAAGTACGAGTGCTAGCTCAGCAACACCAGCATCTGCTCTTGGGTGATGCGGACAGCTTCCGAGTAGAACCCCTGCTGAAAGGCTGGAGGAAAGGGTCAGGGGACTCGGAGGACTGGACACCATTATGTCACTACAGCCCGAAGATAGGCAGAGAGGCTATTCCTCGTAATGTGGAAATCACCCCGGTGGACAAGGCAATGAGGAGATTCAGACAAGTGAAGGGATCTCTGGCCCAAGCTCCAAACTGGCCCGCCATGTGGAAAGCGATCACCTCTTAGAGAAATGCAAGCTTAATGTGGACTCAAAGTTTACAGGTGGTCCCCACGACCGTCTAGCTTTCCTCCAGAGGGATGGATATTCCTGTTGAATGTACTAGATGTAAGTGGGGTTGGGAGTCAAATTCCCACTTATGGATCTTCTGCCCATTGGCCGATGCCACCTGGCAATGGTGGACAACATTGTGGAACGAGATAACACAGGGAAGCTTTTTCTGGTCTGATGACTGGATATTGTATGGCACACTTCCGGCCCCCACCTTCAATTATTTGGAGGGATGGGGTTATGTAGCTTTGGTTTGTAGCTCACTTTTCGCAATACATATTGAGGTCCCCGGCCTCGTCCCAATGTTTTTGGGATACATATTGAAGTTTTCCAAAAACAAAAAAATAAAATAAAAAAATAAATAAAAAATCGAATAGAAAAGTGTCAAATCCATTGATCGGTTGAGTATCTGATACTGGTTGATTGTTTCGTCGGGCGATACGTTGGAGTTGAGCGAAGGGAACAGGGACGGGAATAGAAGATGCAGGCGACCAAGATGATCGCGCCCCCGCATAACTTCGGCAGTGAGAGTACATCCAAAGACCATGCGCGGCAAGCGGATATGAGAGGGCTGGCGAGGGTGGGGGTGGAGTCCGTGAGGGCTGCCGGTAGTCTTGTGACACGTGGCGTGGACGCTGCCACCGCCTTTTGCAAACTGTCCACCTGTATTCTTTCTGTGTCGATTCTAAATTTACGTTCTTCCCGCTTCAGTTCATGCATAAACACTGTCATTTAGTTATTTTGTTGTTAACCATTTCTTGATTTATGTGTGTTATGTTCCGAAGGTGAAACACAGTCGTCTGGAGTCCTCTCGTCCTCTTGTTGTTCTTTTTTGCAGCGTCTGTTTTTCTCCTTTCTGGAAGGACCTCAGGGTGCTGGAGTCGAGGCCCAGCTTGCAGCCACATGGCATTCCCCTGGTTTCAAGTCTCTCGTAACCTTGTCCCTAGAGTCGATTTCCTTCTTCAACGTGTGTCCTGGTGTGTGATCAAAGGGAGGTGCGCCTGTGCGGGGTATGGTACGCCCATATAACTCTTGATAAACAGGCCTGAGTTCAATCCCCGGTGGAGTAGAATAACTCTGAATTACCTGGGGCCGGTCAGCTCGATGGTGCCTCAAGGCCGTCGTCCTTCTTCAAAAAATACCGATGGGTAATACAGAAAGAAAAGGAAAATGGAGAGGGATAGGAGGGGGATATGTTTGTCGCTCGGTCGGAGGATGTAGGCGACTGCGAAAGGGTAGGGAGAACAGGCGTAAGTGGAGAGGAAATTGACTGACATCTCACTTACCTGGCTTCTTCGCTCTCCCTCTCCCTCCCTCTTTCTCTTGCCCCCTCTTCCCTCCCTTTCTTCCTCCACCTCCCGTTCTTTCTGCCATTGTTTGTTTTCTTGTTACCGTGCTCCCGAGTACGTAGATACTCCCATCGACGGTAGTCTGTTCCTTCTGCTGCTTCATTTCTCTCTCTCCCCTCGTCTTCTTCTCAAGTCCTCTTCCTCTCTCTCCTTTCGTCTCCCCCTTTCTCTGTTCCCTGTCGTTTCGTCTTTTCTCTCTATCCCCGTGTCTCTCTCCCCCTCTGTTTCTCCCTCTTCCTTGCTTTCCCTCTATCCTTTCTTTCTTTCTTTCTTTCTCTCTCTCCGTTTCTCCGCCATTTCACTCCCCCGCTTTCCCTGCGTCTCTCCCCCTCTTCCCCGATGTGTTCCTTTTTTCTTTCCCATGTCTCTCACCGCCTCCCTCCCTCCTGTTCTCTCTCCCTCCCTCTCTCCCTCTCCTTCCTTCTTCCCGTGCTTTCGATGTCTTCGTTTCTCTTCCTTTTCTACCCCTTCTTTCTCCCCTTGTCTCTCCTTCTCTCTCTCTCCCCTCTCTTTCTCCCTCCTCTCTTCCTCACATCCGCCCTCACCTTCGTCAATTTCTTCTCTCCTCCTCCCCGTGTTCCTTTGTCATGTTGACGTCATTCCTCAAATGTTCTGCCGTATTTTGTTTGTCTGCTCTCCCTCTTCTCACTTCGCAAGTTGAATTCTCTCAAAAACTCTCTCTCTCTCTCTCTCTCTCTCTCTCTCTCTCTCTCTCTCTCTCTCCAGGGTCTCGGCAAATGTGAGCGGTATGGTCTGCATAGCTAAATCAGTTGAATGCACCTTTTAAAGACTGTTAGGACGTTCGACGTAATTTGTTTGTCTGCTCTCCCTCTTATCGCTTCGCAAGTTGAATTCTCTGGTAATGCTTCGTAGGCGTTGCGGTAGAGGAGGGAGAATGTGGATTGGGGAAGGGAAAGTGTTGATCATCTCCGGCGTAGAAAGATAATGGCAGACATGTAGACAAGGGCGGGGAGAGAGAGAGAGAGAGAGAGAGAGAGAGAGAGAGAGAGAGAGAGAGAGAGAGAGAGAGAGAGAGAGAGAGAGAGAACATGCAAATGCACATAATGAACCATAAAAAAACAGGCAAACAGAAACAAGGTACATGGTAGTCGAAGCCCTCTTTTCTGTGGAAGCGAGGCTGTAAAACATGTTCTTTCGCAACGATGAAGGCGATGATTGAGGTCGTGCAGAGGTAAGGAAAGCGCCYGGTGGGTGGGCTGTGTATCGGACTAATTAATTCTATGAGTTTCTTCTCGAAAATGACGAAAACCAATATGATGGTTTYCTGTCTTAGATGACGAAGAGAGAAACAAATACATAATYAACGAACGCAAAGGTACATGGAAAACATGTTAGCAATGCCTAGCGATGTCCAGACGAAACTTACAAAAACACTGGCAAAAGTGGAAAATTTGAAGTTACGTGATAACAAAATTGAAAGAGGGAAAAGTCATCACACTGGAAGTGGAATTAAAAAAGTCGGACAAAAAAGGCATTTTCCTCCGGATCGAGTTATTACAGTAACATTCCTATTACACCGGCCGCTGTTGGCGGCTAGCCCATTTTGCGAGTGCAAGTCAAAAGCGGCAAGGCGCCCACTTGTAACAGCTAGGCCACACTTATCCTACCAGGGTAGGAACTTTTTGATGGAATCTGGCCGTAATTACTATTCGAAAAAAAGTACTACCTGTTTAGTAACTCTGTTTTGATGGGTGATGTTGATCCCTTTCCCCTACGGAAGCTGTGCTTAAGACAACTTGTTCTTTGTTTCATTCCGTTTTTTCGTTTTTTGTGCCGAACATGTTGTGTTGATGGCTTCAACCTTCTTCTCCATCTGCCCATCTGCGTGTGAGACTATTTCCAAGAAAGGACACTTGTAAAATTCTGCTGCAAGCTATGTACTGAGGCCATTATTGGTTTGGTCTATTTCCCCTTTTCTGCGGCATTGGTGTTGGTGCTAAGATGGCGTTCGCCTGTGTGTGTGTGTGTGTGTGTGTGTGTGTGTGTGTGTGTGTGTGTGTGTGTGCGCGATGAGACTACTTTCAGGAAGGAACAGTTCAGCTCTTTGTGAAGACATTGTGTGGTGATAAAACAATCGCCGTAGATGTGGAGAGAAGTAGCACCGTAAGCAATGTGAAGGCCAAGATTCAGGTACGTGCATTCTTTCACGACGTACTCGTTCTCGTTAGGAGTAGCTTGAATTAATCCTCTGCCTGGCATGTTTGCCTATCAGTGTGCTCCCCCCGTTACGCAGACGTATTCACCAGTGTTCAGCAGCAATCTCCGTTGTAATAGGCGAGGTTTGGTCACACAGAATGCCTACAGCAGGTAGCGGATGTACCTCCCTTGCTTCTGAACGCTACAGAGGTATAACTGTTGATAAGCGCAGATTAATACAGTAATGGGCTCCATCACGTTAGGGGTTACTTCCCGGCCCCCCCTCTGCCCCCTTTGTCCCCTCTTCCATGACTTTCCTCTTTCAGAAAAGGCGAACGAATATTACCTACGAGCAACAAGGCTAGGCGAGATGATCGCTTGTCAACTWTGCTTGCTGCTACTTCCCGAGGTAGGAGCCCCCGTGATWAAAAAAATATCTCAACTTTCAGAAGAAGTACACTTTACTCAAAGACTAACGTACTTTCCTAGGTAGGAAATGACGTGCTAGAAAACAGACATCAGGGAATGAAAATCGAAGCTCTGTTCTGTTCAGACCTTTCACGATTTCCCAAGAGCACTTGCTTCACTTACGTTCTGTCCAAACCTTTCCTGACTTCTTCCCARCTACACTTAACTAAGGACTGACCTTGGTCGGTGATGCTYGGTTCAAATTYTTACCAACTTTCCAAGCTACTTCACTCATGCTCTGTTCAACACTCTCCCGATTTTCCAGCTACAAGTAACTCAGGACTAACCTTCTTCGTCTGTACTCAGCTCCAACCTTTATCAACTTCCGAACTACAGTTCGCTCAGGAGTTAACGTGCTCTGCTCCCGTTATGCTGTTGTGATTTTGTGCTTCGAATCTGTGAAGGAAAAAGGCGTTCCCACGGACTGCCAGCATCTCATATTTGCTGGGAAGCACCTTGAGGATGAAGAGAATCTGGCAGACTTGAACATCCAGAAGCAGTCAACGCTTCACCTTGTGCTTAGACTGAGAGGGGGAACGATGATCAAGGTCAAGACACTCACGGGAAAAGAGATAGAGATTGACATCGAGCCAACTGATACAATCGAACGAATCAAAGAGAGAGTGGAGGAGAAAGAGGGGATTCCGCCGGTCCAGCAGAGGTTAGCTTTCTTTTCTCGCCATCCTRTCCTTTTCAGATCTGCTTTGAAGTTGCTGCGCCTTGATTTTTCTCAATTGCTGTTGCTTGGAAATGTTCCCCCTTTTTGTTTGTGAAGGGGGTAACGCCGGACTCACAACTGGTTGTGTACCATTCAGCCAGACGGGCGGAGAGGCTGGAAATTTTCCTGATCCAAGGACCGAGCCCCACTGTGTGGATCAAAACTGGGTAATGCGGGAAGCCGATTATCTCGGCCACTTCAAATCGCCAGAAAACCGCTCGTATGGACCTGGTTTTGCCAGAATCACCGTCTGCAATAACGTTGGATGGCGAATCTGACCCTGAAGTTTTGGGTTTATCGGGTGCATACCCAGTATTATCAGATAGTTTCCTCCGGTGCAATAACGCTGTGGCCCAATGTCTTGGGCGTTATTGGGTGCATACCCAGTATTATCAGATAGTTTCCTCCGGAGCAGACTATTTGGTTTTCTTTAAACCTCTACTACCTCCGATCCTGTTTTTACCGATCCTGAATTTCACTGATAACGCTGTGGCCCAATGTTTTGGGCGTTATCGGGTCCATACCCAGTATTATCAGATAGTTTCCTTCGGAGCAGACTATTTGGTTTCTTTAAACCTCCACTACCTCCGATCCTGTTTTTACCGACCCTGAATTTCACTGCGCACCGAGTTTTGCCGACCCTAGGTCCCATTGTCTTTTCTTTTCTGGTACTTATACAAAAACAAAACAACAACTGGATTTCATCACGGCAAGGACAAAATAAAAAAACTAAGGAGGGGGTTCATACCCAGTATTATTATTATTATTTTTTCTTTCTTTAGAAACCTTATCTTTTCAAAAAAACAGACAGAAATTACTCGGGTCTTAACTCAGCGACCCTTATGAGTAGAGCCTAAAGCGGCTTCAACCAAGGGGACAAAATCAGTTTGCCTTCATTTGAGAACTGTTTCTTGTCCAGGTTTTGGAGAACCACAAAAGGGAGGGACCCCGGCACGCTGTGCAGCTCCTCCAGTCTGAAATGATCATCAGTCTGAGATTGGAGCGAACCTGCTGCTGTTGTTGGAACACCGAGACTTTCTCTCCCTTGAAAGCACTGGCATTTCTTGCTTTCCAAATTTCATAGCACAATATGCCCCTGCAGACCAAAGCCAAATAGACTCCCTCTGAATATTTCAAATCAGTATCTGGGAGAAGGCCATAAAGAATCCAATCATCATTCCAATCGAACGTGTTCCCTGCCAACTGCCGCCAATGATCAGACCACCACAATCACAATTCATCGGCCAAAGGGCAACAGGTCCACAGATGCACAAACGATTCCCAACCCCACTGACAGCGGGTGCAGGTAGGAGGTAACGTCCACTCCTTTCTGAGACAACCAGTGGGCAGTAGGGGTGACCATTAATGATTGCATCCACTGCAGACTGACATTTTTCTGAGAAGGTATTTTCTTTAGAGCTCTCCACACGGCAAACCAATTAGGCAGCTGGTCATCAGGACCTTTCAGTTTCCTAAACCATCTAGATGCCAGCGTCATTGGTGTCAATGTGGAGCGTTGGTGGAGTGATCTCACTCGTACTTTTGGCGTGTACTGGAATATAAATATTGTGTTCTGTCCTTCTGAGCCCTCGGAGTCAAGCACCCACGTGTACAGCATGGGTTCCACTATGAAATCTTCCCCAATTCCCAATAGGAGACAGGTCCTATCCGCTTGCAGCACTCTAGCTTCCTCCAGGCCCACCGTAGTCTGGATTATGGTTTCCTGGACTTTCCTTAGCCTACCACTACCTGCCATTGTGCTGCTAAGATTCCATTCTTCAATTTTAATACCCCCTGACAACTCCGGCCCCAAGACCTTCGAATACTTGCCGTTATCCTCCTCCGAGCGGGCCCAGGATCCTTCACACAGTTCTGTGGTTGATCTTAGCATTGTCGACCAGTGTCTGGGAACTGCCTGGATAATCTTCTCCAGGTTTGCAGGAACTTGCCTCAATCTAGGAAGTTTTTGCCTTAGTTCATCACCCGTAAGCCAATCATCCTTACCACAATCCCAGATGTGCTTGATCTGTACGACCCCTCTTTCTATCCAAGTATGTCCAAAATGCCCCCCCCCCTCCTTTTGCCAAAAACATATCACCCCTGTCGTTGACCAGCAATGGATTCTCAAACAAGACCTGGTTGGCCACTTCCTGTCTTGTGGATGGCTTTCGGCAGATTGTCGGGCGCACCTTCTTCCATGCACCCAGAATACTTCGCCATGTTCTGGACTTGACTCTTCGGTTCAGAAAGGAGGGAATAAGACAACACTGTCAGACTCATGTCTCCTCCTTCAAGGACCATTCCTGTCCCAATATATATTGTGCAAATTTTACCCACAGCTTCGTGGGGTCCTCTAAAAGGGCTTTGATTACCCACTTAGCTAGAAGGGCCAGGTTCTGTTTATGGGGGCTTAGAATCCCCAAGCCCCCTTGTGACTGTGGAAGAGAAACCACCTCCCTGGCCACCTTTGGTATATAGCCCTGATCTTCCTCAGCAGAAGGTTTTCATAAATACCTGGTGGCCGCTCTGCGAATTTCAGTATACGCCTCATCCCCTAACAAGCAAACCGACAAGGGAAACCAAAGCACCGAAAAGGCTGCTGGTGATAAAACCAGAGCTCTCCCAAACAAAGAGAGCTTGTAATTCCTGAGCCATCCCTGAATTTTGGCAATGACCCGGTTGGTCAGCTGCTGATCCTGTGACCTTGAACAATCTTTAAGAGCAACTTGGATACCTAAGAATCTTTCTGAATTTGCTGTCGGGATTCTTCTCAGGCCCCAGTCTACTTTCAACAGAAGGATATCTGGTAAAAAATAGACTGATTTGGACCAATTTATTGATGCTTCCGAAAGTGTACAATATTCATCCAACAGCCTCCTCAATTCTCCTAGGGAAGAGCGGGAGTTTTCACATGCGACTGTCAGGTCATCAGCGATTGCTCTTGCTTTCCAATGGGGGGAAGGGCTAACTATCAACCCAGTAATACTATCATTGTATCTAATATTATATATTAAAACTTCGAGTTGGAGAACGAAAAGTAACAGAGCAAGGGGGCACCCTTGCCTAAGTGAAGGGGTCAACTGGAATTCCTCGGACAAATGTCCATTGACCATGACTACCGAAGTGGCACTTGCATATGATGCATGGATCCATTTGAGAAAGCCGGGGCCAAATCCCATTCTTTTGAGGGTCGTTGAAACAAAGGCCCACCCCACTTTATCGTACGTCTTTTCAATGTCAAGCATTAGGACCGCCACTTCTCTCTTTTCTACTCTGATTACTTCCAAGGCTTGCATTGTTGTTAGAATGTTTTCAAAGATTGACCGGCCCTTGACAAAAGCCCCTTGCTCCCATCCCACTAGTTGGGGAAGTTCTGCTGCCAGGCGAATTGTTAGGGCCTTGGCCATAATTTTGTAAACAACATTCATAACAGAAATGGGGCGGTAGTTCTGGACTTCCCGCTTATCTCCCTTTTTGTATAGTAAGGAAATAAAACCCTTCACAAAATTTTCTGGGAGAGAGCCTGTACTCATGGCTGAATTATAAATCTAACAAAGGAAGGGGGCAAATCCTTCCCATGTACAGAGGAATAACTCAACCGGGAGCCCATCTAAACCTGGACATTTTCCATGTGTCATTTGCTTAACTGCAACAGTTAGTTCTTTAATCGTAAAGGGAGAATCCATTATTTCTCTGGATGTTTGGTTAATTCAAGCATGTGATCTGTTCCAAAAGGATGAAGTAAGAGCTAAGTCTGTGTCAAATTCATTGAAAGATCTCCTTGTAGAAACAATATCCCGAAAGTACGAGAGCGCATAAGAGCAGAGCTCTAATGGATTTGATGTTATAGGGCTGTGTACATCAAGAGGATGTACCAATTCCCGTATCGCCGGTTTGGTCTGTCTAAGAATCAGCGATCGAAAAGTGAGTTTGGTCATTTTATCGTATCCGATTATGCCCCGGAGTTTAAGCCACTCCAGCCACTCGGCCTGCTTCTGAATTTCCAAGGCCTCTAATGCCGCGAGAGCATCTGTCCTCTTTTCGGACCAGTAATGGTCCGAGAAGGGATCCTGACCCATGTTAGCCTCTGCTTCTTCAATTATTCGTTTATTTCGCAGTTCTTTCCAGTTACGGGAGGCCGCCTTCATTCGAGAGAAGACGATGAGGGCCTCTCTGATAATACCAACTCCCACTTCTGCCCACGTATCCTGAGTATCGAACAAGTCTTTGGCGTTTTGCCATTCTGTCATTTGAGAATTTATGCATTTAGGAATTCCTTTGTCCTTTAAATTATTAATGTTTAGTCGAAAAGGAGGTCTGGCAGATTGCATCAAATCTTTGGAGATCACACCAATCATCACTGGATAGTGGTCTGACAGCGAGGCTATTTCATAGTCTGTTGTTATACAATGGTCCCACAGAGTCCCTCATGCTGCCACAAAGTCCAAACGCCTCTTGGGTCTAGGGGTCTTGTTGTCTGGCTTCGGGCCATACCATGTGTACCCGTGATCTTCGGGGTTCATATGTCTGTAGGTGTCAATTAAGCATTGTGAGTCTAGAAAGGACTCAGGTTCTCCACCAACAGGAATCCTGTGCTGTGACGAACCGATTTCTGTCCCGCGCGACTTTCTGCGTGATAACAATGAGGGGTCCTAAGCTGGGAAGGATGGGCCATTTACGGGAGATCGGGATTAAGGGAGAATTGCATCAGTGTCCTTGTTTTTTTTCGTCCTTTCTCTTTCGACGCTTCTTTTTCGGATGATTGGGTGCAGCGCCGGGCGAGCCCCGGGATGATTGATTGAGTGGCTGTCGCGCCGACCAGGCGCGATTAATAACGGTTGACGCCGCTTCTTTTTTGTGCTGTGGTCGGATTTAGGCGCAGAGGTCGCGCGGGAATTTTGTTTCGTTCTTTTTGAATTTCTTTTTTCGAATCTTGTTGGACC